AGAAAAACAGAACCAGTAGAAGTTATATGTATGTGTGCATATGTGTGTTTATGTATAATTTATGCATATTTTCTGTGTGTGTATATGACTCATGCCAAGGAATTGGCTCACAATTTTAGGGGCTGGCCAGTCTTGAAATTTTAGCGCAGGGATATGGCAGATTTTAGCTTTTTTCACCAGCTATTAAAAGACTAAGTGCTATTAAGACATTAAGACCAAATTTTAGGTTCTCATTTTTTGTTGAAAAATAATTGTTTACCTAATTTTTGTTTCTGATTGTAAAAGGAGTTTTATTCCAGAAATGTAAATAATCTGAACAGATGTTTGTCTTTGCCTATTGTGTATTTTATACATTGGGGTCATTACTGTATATTTTAGTGTATTTTCCTTCCTGTAAATGTCTAGGTTTGGATTTAAAAAAAAAGCTTATTGCCCAAATTTAACATTTTAAAGAACTATGCAAGGTGAAATCAATGGTTGACACTAATAACAGGTGTGTATGTGTGTACACATTCAGTTTGACATTTTGCCTATGTCAGAGTTAACTAACTCTAAAGAGGAGAAAGATTGTTGCTGAGAAAACTAGCAGGGCAATAGTTAGTTCTGATGTGTGTTGCTAGTTCCTGTATTTTAGCAAATAGCAGAAATAATTGAAGGAACTTCGATGAATTTTTATACTGTCTCTTTGGGAAGAAAACATTGCTTTGAATAATGAGCATGTTAGGCATAAATAAAAAAGATAAGAAAAAATGATTGACATTGTTACAAAATGGGATAATAAATTACATAGTACTGAATAGGAAATCGGAGTAAGTACAAGGCTGGAAATTATATCTTAGAAATATTTAAGTGAATATGATTTATATTATTGCACTAGGACCTAGTACCACAACAGAAACAGAAACAATCGCCAAATATGAAATAATGGATGGTGCACCGGTAAAAGGTAACACATTTTTCAGTTGCTGCTTTGGTGGTGTAGATGTAACAGTGTATGAAACAGTTTAATTTGAAAGTATTCAATGTGAAAGTATTTATAATTGCCTAAAACTACTTTTATAATGATGGTTCTGAAGATTGTCTTTGTATAGATACTTTGTATAGTACTAATAGTACTTCCTAGTCTGAATTAAGTCTTAATTTTTCTCTCAGTTTAAATTTAGACTTCCAAAGAGATGTTTTATATATTATCAATTTACTTCTGGATTTGTAACATTTGATTGTCTTTTGTTTTAACTGTTTCGCTCTGTCAATCTTTTTTTCTGATGGTGAGTACAAGATGTAGTGTCAAATCACACCAATCCAAACCCACGGCCACCTAGTCAATTGTGATTTATAGCAACTAGATAGGACAGAGAGCTGCTGCTATGGGTTTGTGAGAATGTAAAATCTTTATGTGAACAGTCAGCCTCATCTTTCTCCCATGGAGCAGCTAATGGATTTGAACCACTGACCTTGTGGTTAATGTTTAGCCCATAATTCCGCCAGGACTCTGTAGATGCCAGATAGTTGAGTATTGATTGCTATGGAATTTTGGGAGCCCTGAGCGCCCCTAACAATATAAGCAGGCCCGTTACTAGATTACCTTCTGTGTCTAAGACACTGAAGCCAGTAATTAGCATTTTAAAAGTTATGCCTTTGGATTTTTATCACTTTATTAATCTTTCACAGAGAGACATTAACTAGATGTTAATACCTAGGAGCATGGCAAGGGGCTGGGAGGTAAAAAGAGGAGCAAAAAAACAAGTATGAGAAAAATGAAAATGTGGTGGAATTGATTGTAATGATGATTGCGCAACTCTTCTTAATATGATTCTTAATATGATATATGCAAAAAATTATTTCAGAAAGTAGCTACACTTACTGTCAATGAGATGAAGGACTCGTGGTGCAGCAGTTAAGTGCGTGGCTGCAAACAGAAAGGGGTCATTTCAATCCCACCTAGTGGGTCTGCAGGAGAAAAGACCTGTTGATCAGCTCTCAGAGCCTAGAAAACTCTGTGGAGCAGTTCCGCTCTCTCACATAGGGTGACTGTGAGCTGGAGGGGAGGTGTTGGTCTTAACCACAATTATAGGTGACGCTGTGTGTGCTTTGTGCTCTGAAGCTCCCTCCTACCTTTGAGTTAAAACTAAACTCACTGCCATCAAGTTGATTCTGACTTGTAGCAACCCTTCAGGACAGGGTAGAACCCTGTTCCTGTGGGTTTTGAGACTAATTCTGTGTGGAAACAGAAAGCTTCTCTCCCTGATCTTTCTTCAAGCTGCTGACCTTGTGGTTTACAGCCTATGGCACTGTCCATACGCCACCAGGGCTCCTTTCGGGTTAGGTGATGGTGTGTATATTCCACAGGTGGCTGAAAGAGCTCTAAGCCAAGCTCTGGGTTGCAGAGTTGGGGGCGGAAGTCGGGCCTTTCTGGCTTTCTGGCCCCGTGGCTAGTTTGTTCTCCCCCTTTTCCATATGTATCCTTGTACTGAGAAACCCAGCTTTATAAAATCCTAGCAGTCACAAAGTTTAACCTAGAGGAATGGGTCTTCTATTTCTTACTCTATGATAAAAGTGTTCCACACGTTTCACAAGAATATGCAACCACCAGCATATTGGCTAGGAGGGAAAGTTGTCTTTCTGTCCATATTTGTGACTTTGGATTAATTAGCAATAAGTATTCCAAAAATTTACACATCTAACTAGAAATTAGGATAAACTCTGAGAAGGCAGAAGATAGCAAAACTACATGCAAACAGCACGTACCTGCTGGAAACTATTCTAAATACTTGATATGTATTAACTTTATTGTCTATGAATTCCCTGTGAGGTAGGTTAGTGTTATCCTTAGTTTGCACATAAGGAACTTGAAGCAAGAATCGTAAGTGACTTGGCCAAAGTCACATAGCCAGTAAGGGGCTGTGCTTTGAAAGCTAGACGTTCTGGCTCTAGAGCAGTAATTTCTCACCCAAGGTCAGTTTTGCTCCCCCCCCCCC